CGAGATACAACTATTTGAAAATCTGGAATCTGAGGGAAAAAATCTAAATATTGAGAAAATCGCCTTTAAAGTTGTCCAAATGAAGTTATTAGCCATGCATATTGCTAATAAAAAATTAAGTTTTAATATATTTACAGTAGGACATTTACAAAATATCTTCATGGAACATGATCTTTACTTAATATCCTAATGATTTTTGGCATAAAAGAAAAATCTATAATTTTGACCCATACAATGTATTTTTGGCTATTGCTACAAATATACCCCAGCGACTTAAGACTGGTTTTGTGGTCCAGGGTCACATATACACACACACACACACACACATATATATATATATATATATATCCCATATACACACGTATGTTGATATATGTAAATGATGAAATGCTGTCAAGAGTTTTTCATTCCTAGATAAAAAAAAGTGGCTTTTCCCATCTTGACATCACATGTAGTTTCATGAGGTTACACAGTGACTTCAGTGCAGTTTGGTTGGACCACCAAAGCTGGATAAATATCCAGCTGATTTTTTCTTTTTCTTTTTTTGGACAGTGGAGTGACAAACAATGAATTGTTTGAAAGTCATTTAAAATGCTGCTCAAACATCAGCAAGTTTCTTCAGAGGGCCTCTTTTGATCTCAGCATGATTTAGCCACACTCCTCAGCTGCTAAGACCAAACCTCACCACGAGTTTCTGATGTTTATATAAGGCAGTGCCCCTCCATTTACTCTCTAATGAGCTTCTAATCATTTGCACCTGCGCAACAGTGCACCTGAGTTTCATTTTAGGCATTTGCTGCATGTAGAAATTGCATTTCTGTTTATTTAAATAGTACAAATGACTGCAAAACCTTACTCAAACTTATATGACCTAACCCGATTCTTCTATTTGATTCTGATCCAGCTGAGAATACAGCAGTGAGACTGTGCCACAGGGCTGGATGTTAACACTGCCCCACATGTGCTAACAAACAGAAATACACAAACACACACACACATATTATTATAGACTGATACAAATAACAAATATCCATTACAGTAACATGCTGTTATAGATGTTGCTGATATATACTGTATTTGTAATACCATCATCCTTTGGAGACTGTAAGAAGAGACAAACAACATCACTGCTGTAACTTGAGCTCACTAACCGTGTCTGAAGAAACTGAGCATAATGCTAGCATAAAGATGATCTCCATATCAGCTTTTTGCCTCAATTTGCAAATTTGATCATCCGCTCCGCTGCAAAAATAAATGAAATGAATAAATAAATACATAATTACGTAAATGAATAATGTTATTATTAAAAATAAAATCATTTTCTTATTATTTGTCTTGTTTTAAATTTCTTTTACATTTCTTATATATATATATATATATATATATTATTACTTTGTATTATTTATAAAAATTCAAATGTGTAATTGCTTGGAAAAAAAAAAGCACATTTTGTCCACCCAAGTAAAAATGTATTTATTTGTTTGATAGTTTGAATAATTATTTAGGAACATTTTGTACAGATCAAATGTATGGCTCCAAATCCATGATATATATATATATTTACTTTATGATAAACAAAAAAACACTATTTATTCAAACTACAAGTAATATCTTTGTAGAAAAATGTTTTTCAAAATCTATGAAAACAGCATGAATACTAGCCACTTTCATTTTAAATGAGATTTTTGCTTTTTATCATCTCAGACATCTTTATTTGTCACTGAAGAATACATTTTAAAATGAAAAAAACAGCATGAGACACCTTGGTTATTGTGTTCGGTGAACATATTCTCAGGCGAAATGAAGATAGCCTACTGATGATGTCGTCTGTCCTCGGTAACGCAGATGACTTTTAGTGATGATGTCAAAGACATGCTCAAGCACATAATGATTTAATTAGAATCCCCCACAGAAAGAGTAGTATGCAGTCAGTGCTTTTTAAATAACAAATTTGAGCCCAAAACCAGATTCAAGAAGTGATCTGTTGTCTTCCACACACACACACACACACACACACACACACTGAAACACACTTACTCTAAGCCAGATGGCTCAGGGT